TAGGAGGCTACCCATAGGTTGGCTCAAGGGCCATATATACTTAATGGTCCTTCACTAGGATGAGGAGCAGTTCGATCTTTCCCACATATCCATATCCTGCTCCTAAAGCAGCTACTGAACTTTGTTCTCCAAGATCAATTATATTGCTGTTCCTATTCCCATGCCTTGTATTCCACTGAAAAAAATAGTCAAGTACTTGAGGTTATTCTGAAATGATTTTTTACACTTGATTAACTTGTTAATCTTTTAAAAATTATTTGCCAGAGAGCATGTGTACTTTTGAGTCAGAGAGACAGAGACACACAGAGAAAGAGAGAGCACCAATTAATTGGGCATGGTCATGCTGAAGTCCTTCTCTTCCATTTTTCTACCCTATTGGGATGTGGGGCATGCATGCACATGCATTGGCATTTGTGTCAAGCTACTGGGTCCATGATTAAAACCAAGCTGCTGGACATACGGGACCTGTCTCACTTAACCATTAGTCTATGGGGCCAGCCTACCTTGCTTGATCTTTACACGGCTATCCTACTATTCTTTTTGATTCATACCCAAGTGTTATTATTTAGAATTTGATGATAACTATGAGGAAAAAAATTCTGACTTCAAAAATTAATCAGATTTTCTTCCAAAGGTCTACAACACATGGTAATATTCAGGAATTTCTGGTAATTATAATAATTTTTATGGAATTCTAAAAATGATTCTAGTTGAGTCAGCAAAAATATATTGTTAGATGCATTTTAAGCTATATTAAATAGGTGCTGACTCAATACAATGTTCTTAACTGTGGACAATTTTGTTTCTAAGGGGGCAGGGGGCATTTAGCTCCATCTAGAGATATTATAACGGTCATAAGTGGAAGGAATTATTAGTGTCTACCTAATGGGTATAGCTTAGGATGCTGTTAAATATCTTATAATGTACAGGACAATTATCTGGCCCAAAATGTCAATAATGACAAGGGTGAAAAATCCTGATCTAGTGCAGTCATTCCTCAAATACTTCTGTCAGACAGTTCTCTGTAATTTCTGGACTGGTCTTATTTGATATGTCTTTATTATATTGAATCAAAATTTATTTTCCTAAAATATTATCATCTATTTGTCTTATTTACACACCTCAAGATCACAAAGAAGAAAAAAAATCAAATTATTCCTTTACATGACAGATTTCCAAATGGTTGAGATGTCTATCATAATCCTCAAAGTTCTGATTTGGGGGTTGAAAAACCACATGCTCATATCCTGTACCTACTTCTCACAACAGCATAATTTCAGAAGCAAAGGTAATACTCTAAATTCAAAGCAATATTTTAAGACTAAAATATCAGACTGAACATAATAATAAAATAATTACCAAGTACTGACCACCAACTATGTAACAAAAGTTTTATATACATTATTTTATTAAATTGATATTGACACTATCCTCTCCAGGTAAGTATCATGGCACCATTTTATAGATGATAAAACTAGGGTGGAAGAGATGACACACAGACTCATTGACACTGAACTAATATGTTTTGGGACTGAATTCTATGAAGAGTATATTTCACATTAATTTGTTTTTCTCTTCTCAACTCTCTCCTACCTTCAGTCCCTTCTTCAGTTTCTTTTCTTCTATTTATTTATTTAGAGATTTTTGGTATAGGGCACATGCACTCACCAGAGAGACAGAGAGAAACAGAGAGACAGAAAGAGAGAATAACCCCCCACCACCACCACCACCAGTGGAATGGCCACACCACAATCCCTTCTCCTCCATTCTCCTCTTGGGATCTTGGGCACGTGACTGATGTAAATTTTAAGCCTCCGGGGACTTGAACCACAGTTGATGCTGTGCAAGTACAGTGACATAACCATTAGACCATCTGCTCGTCCCTCTTCTATGTGTTCTTTACATTCCATACATTCTTCCTTTTTCTGCCTCCCTGCCTTAAACCAGCTGCAGGGCTGTAACAGGTCTTACCACAATCATGTTTTAAGAAGCAGGTTAAGCCACTTAAGCACTTGCTTAGAGCACTTCAGATTCTGTGCACCACTTCTTTTGAGTTTCTCCTTGCCCTGTGAAAAAGGCCCAAGCTAACCAGAAGGGATCATGAGATCTAGGAGCCTCCATTCAGCGCATAGCATTGGTGAAACATTCTTTGAATTCTTCTTTGAGAGAACATAAAAGTTTTCATTGACAGAATATATACTGAAAAGTTAAGTATCTTCTATATTCTTGTTGAAGTTGGTTGACAGGTACCTGGGAATTCATAACTCCCTGTTTTTGTGTATGTTGGAAAATATCTTCATAAAAACAAACAAACCCACAAATCCTCTCTTCTCTATACTTAGCATTCAGCAATTGCCTTCCCCCCGCCTTATCTCATAGTCTCTATTGAATGAAAACCAATGTTTAAAATAAAATCTCAAATATGAGTAAAGGTTAATTTCTGAAGTATTGGGTCATCAGAAAATTCATGATCCATTTTTGCATAGAAAAACACTCGTAACTTTTCTAACAATCCAATATATTTGTCATGCCCCCTAGACTTGACCCACTTCTTGAGCTACTTCAATACAGACAAACTTACTTCTGTATTTTCTCCCTTTTCAATTATTCTCTTTTTATATTACCAATTTCATGTGCATATGATGCATGGATACAGAGAAATGGAAACACGTTTTACAAGTAGCAGAAGTAAAATATCATTAAGCCAAATCCCTCATCCACAAGGGTGGTAATCACATACTTTTTATTGTATTTTTTTTTTAGAGATATTTGTTATAGGGCGCATGTGCTTGCTAGAGAGAGACAGAGAGACAGAAAGCGAGAAATCACCTCCCAGGGGAAGAATAGCCACATTGCAATCCCTTCTCCTCTAGAGATTTTGGGCACATACACACACGTACCCAGCATGAGTTTCAAGTCACTGGGTCCAGGACTCGAACTGTGGGTGACTAAGTCCAGAGCCTTAACCAACACAACACCTGCAGGTTCCTTTATTAAAATTTTTGATTGAACATATGATCATTGCAATCTTTGTGGGACACAATATTGTTTTTTCAAGAACATAGAAAGTGTATAATAATCAAGTCGAGGTTATAAACATACTGATTATCTTCACCTCCAGCTGTGAAGATAATTGAGGTTATAAACTTATTGGTTATCTTCACCTCCAGCTGTTCTCATGTAATAAGGAAGATCTTATTAACCCACCTTGTAAGATACGCATATCCTAGAGGAGAAATTGTAGACATGGCTGCCGGCTCCTGTTTGTACTGTGTCCTAAAGACTCTAAGGCCCTAGTTTTCTATTCCAGAGGACAGCTAGGTTTTTGTTATTCCTCTTAACCACTTATGTCCTCTTTCACTCTAGTCAGCCATGACACAGCATTCCAAGAAAGGGTGTTTAGATTTATCTGTCAGCATTTTTAGGGAAATAATCATAAGTTAATTTTGCCCTCGTGGTAGGTCAGTGTTGCTAGTTCTGGATAAAATAGAATGTGTTAATTATTTCACTGGATACCAAACTACTTTTCCCTAATCATTAACAAACAAGTTTGATGCATACAAACAGAAAGCAAAATTTAAAGAAAATGAAGCGAATATATATTTTCTCTTTAATAAATGCTATTGAAAGAATGGCTTCTGTTTTTTTTTCTCTAATCATTCCAAAATTTCTTTCTGCCTCTTCTGTGTCTTAAGTACAGATTTTTCTGACCTGTTTTCACAGGTGCATGCTCTAAAAACAAACAAAAAAATGTGTTCCAGTACTGTTCTACATGCTTCACTTATGCTAGTTTACTTAAACCTCCCCAAAATTCTATGAATAAAGTTTTATTCTAATAACACTGTGGGGAACCAAACAGATAAAAACTTGAAGTAATTTGCCCAAGATTTCAGGATTTTCAACTTGACTAGTGCATCAAGTTAGAAAATGACACCCATTTCCAGTACAATCACCCCAAATTCCAAGCACTTTCACACCTATTATTTTTTCTGCCCTGCCCCCGTAAGTATGTTCAATTTTATTTTTCTTAAGCATGCATTTAAATACATGGGAATCTCTGTCCTCATTTACTATTATTAAAAATGGAATAAAATCTAAATCTCCATTGTTAAGGGGAATATTTACTAAATTAATTTCTTATTGAGGGAGATTATGCTGTTATTTAAAAGGATGGGCATAAATATGGCAACGTGTCGAGATCTCCCTGATATATCTGATTGAAAGAAGCCAGCTATAGAACAATATGCTCGAGCAAACAAATGTAAGACACTTATACATGCCAAAGTATATTGAATAATACCTGGGAGGTAATATGTCAAACTCTGGAGAAAAGGATTAAGAAGTAAAGAAAATAAAGAAAAGTCTGTATTTTATCTTATATACCTGTGAATTATTTGAATCCTTAAAATGGGCACCTGCTATTTATATGATGCAAAAAAAAAAAAAATGCACCAATAGGCCAGACACATTTGATGGTACCCATTTAGCTAGATCTCCTCCCCCATTATTTACTCCATTTTCTTTTTCCAACTTTATTTTCCATTACCTTTCCATTAATTGATACCTGGTATCAATTATACTGAATTTTATCTGCTCTAAACATTGCCTGTATATCCAATGCTTCCATCTAAACACAGAATATACTCTTTGTCCTTACATTCAGTCTCCTTAAAGAAACTTGGGTGCATATTAGATTTTCATACCCATTTCATAAAAGAAAAAGAGCAAATGTCCAAGAAAAATTTTGCATTTTCAAACAAAAAGGTTTAATAAATTTTTAACATATTACTCCCTGAATTTTAAAGTATCAGAAAGTAATAAAGAACAGTTATAAAGTTTTTGTAGAGATCACTATATTTCTTTTAGAAAATGATAATTTACTTAAATATAAAGGATATAGTGACAATCTTGAACAATTTTTACAATAAGGCAGAGCATAAAAGGGAAAAATATATCATACCTTTAAAATTTTAAAAGAAATCAAGACACAGGTTTCTTACCATGGTGAGGGTGAATGGGTGATTTTCTAATGCGGACACACTGGGACAATGTAGAATAATATACTAAAAAGCAACAAACAGACACTGTTCAAATGATCAAGAAAGAAATACAACTATTCCAATGATAATATGTACGTTAATTTTCAAAAATTACATAAAGGTAAAGGGTTTTTAAAAATGACTAACCACTGACCCACCTGGCCAGGTCTTGCTTTAAAATTTTCTTTGACCATTCGGATTTCCAGGACATCTGAGGGGTGACTTATGACTGAGATGATGGTGACTGGTTTATTGCTCCGGATACACCTGTAAAGTCTTTCGGCACAATACAGGCACAAAGGTCCAGAAATCCAAAGCCAAGTCTAAGAGAGGATTTTTGAAAACATATTTCAAGAAATATTTGTATTATAGGAATCTATATCTTCCCCTAATTGCTTATTTCACACATTATATACTAACATTTTAATTTGCATTTTTAATAATAAAACATGAAAAAATGAATAAAAAAAGATGTTCACTGTGACTCATTCAAATAAACTTAAATATAAAAGAAAAGAAAAAATAATATTAAGACCCAACCCTCAAATCCATGCCCTGTATCTACTATTAGCGTATAAGAATACAATCTTTCACATATTCTTCTATGCATACCAACATATAATATATATGCATAATATTTCTCTAAAGAGGATAAAGGGCAGCTAAAATCTCAAGTATTATCTTAGGATTTTAGAAAAAAGTGCCAATCCAATATGTATTAAGGAATGTAAATCTTAGTTACTTTCAATTTAATAAGATATATGCATATAATAACATATATATTTTATATATAAATACTATTAATTATATAAGCACATATATTTTAAAATGGGATGTTGTGCACGTTGTTTATATCTTACCTCTACATAATATAGTATAAACAGCAGATACTATTTAGACTTGGAAACCATGCCAGTTTTGAACGTATAGTGATGGACAGCTCTGTCCCAGGATAACTGACAATTTGGGAAATGCAGAATTCTTGTGTCTGTCTCAGCTCCTATGACAGTACGCTATTATCTCACTCATCACATTGAGGCCTCTGATTCAACTTTATTTTAGTGATCACCTTTTCTTTTTCTATTTTTAAATTTGCTAGAGCACATGTGTGCATGCCAGAGAGTGACAGAGAGGGTGTGGAAAGAGGGAAAAAGTGTGACCAGGAATGGTCCCACTGGCATCCCTTCTCGTCCCTTTCT